TAGAAATACCACTGTTAAAATAGAGCTCAATACATCAATTATAGAGTGATATAGAAATACCACTGTTAGAACAGAGCTTAATACATCAAATAAAATACCACTGTTAAAATAGTGCTCAATACATCAATTGTAGAGTGATATAGAAATACCACTGTTAAAACAGTACTCAATATATCAATTGTAGAGTGATATAGAAACACCACTGTTAAAATAGTGCTCAATACATCAATTGTAAAGTGATATAGAAATACCACTGTTAAAATAGTGCTCAATACATCAATTGTAGAGTGATATAGAAATACCACTATTAAAATAGTGCTCAATACATAAATTGTAGAGTGATATAGAAATACCACTGTTAAAATAGTGCTCAATACATCAATTGTAGAGTGATATATAAATACCACTATTAAAATAGTACTCAATACATCAATTGTAGAGTGATATAGAAATACCACTGTTAAAATAGTGCTCAATACATCAATTGTAGAGTGATATATAAATACCACTATTAAAATAGTACTCAATACATCAATTGTAGAGTTAAAATATCTGTTAAAATATTTTTTAAGTCGAATTGGATAAGTAAAATAAAAATCAGTTTTTGATAGTTGTGGATTGTCAAACATTTGGGATATAACTTATGCTCAATAAACCCAAATTTACTGAAAGTTACTGTCAAACTTCGACTTTTATGTTATTTATAGGCTAGGTGACAGGTGCGAAAAATGTATAAAAAACGATACTACTTTTCAAACCCAAATACATTCAAGATGTATCAGCTTTTTAAATCAGAAAAATTTCCAATGTTACTCTTTTTATACAAGAAAATGTACGATATTTTCAAGAAATGTTATAAATCATGTACCTACGTGTATATGTATTTTGTATACTCAATTGAGCGCCCTCGAGGGGTCGGTAACGAGAATAAAATTATTATTATTATTAAAGATGGCTTGAAAATATAAATAGAAAGTAGAGGTGTTCTAATGTCCATAACCATTTCATAATGAACTATATTAGAAGAGAATTACCAGCAGAATTCCACTGAGTGACCGACCAAGAAAGGTCAAAAGTCTTTTTTTGTTTATCCAGACTGTTCTTACATGGAAATTTATGATTGGTTAAAACTCTTAATTATATGTAATACGAACATAAAGATATAATGTAATAAAGTTGAAGTTCAAGATATGATTAAGAATACATGATAATTCACTAGAAGCACAATCAAATAGTTTGCTTAATTTGACACTAAAAAAATAAGGAAACCAAAAGTAGCATTGTAGATATTGATAAATTGGGAATTGTTCAGACCTAGAAAAAAATCATACACAATACTGTAAACGAATATTAAAAGTTAGAAACACAACGCCAAATTACATAGTATATGGAGAAACATGCCGATTCCCTATTATATTAACTATTCAACAACGTATGATTGTATTTTGGTCAAAGCTTGTCGATTCAAACTCTGAGAAATTATCGCATAAATTATATCGTCTCGTCTTGCAGTTACATACAACAGGTCAGAAACAGTTTAAATAAATATATTAAATTCATAAAATAAATATTAGATCACAATGGCTTATCTTATGTATGGTTGAATCAATCGATTATATCACTTAATACTAAACTCTTGAAATCCACCAT